GCACTGAAATACACATTTCCTCACCTCAATTAGTTCCAGCTAGTAAAACTGCCAAAGTGTTTGGTGCATCTTTTTCATAGCCCTAGAAAGGGTTCCTACCGATTACTTACTCTATAAGACCTGTCACCTTTTCCAGAGTGCTCCACTACAGAAATAATACATTTCTCTTATTTACCAATATATTCACTAAATAAGTACATTACTTGAAAAGATATACTCAAAATATTTTGTGAAGCAATGAAATAAAACCATTTATGTTCTTTTTGACATTGAAGGCAGATTAAAGGTTTATGGACATTTAAAAAAAAAACAAAAAAGAAAAAACAGAAGGCAAAGCTGACCATATTTATAAAGAATAAAACTTGAAGACAAGTATAATGAGATAAATTGTAATTGTTACAAACTACAAATGTAATTTCCTTATATTCAAAAGTACTGGCCGGGCACGGTGGCTCAAGCCTGTAATCCCAGCACTTTGGGAGGCCGAGGCGGGTGGATCACGAGGTCAGGAGATCGAGACCATCCTGGCTAACATGGTGAAACCCCGTCTCTACTAAAAATACAAAAAAAAAAACTAGCCGGGCGTGGTGGCGGGCGCCTGTAGTCCCAGCTACTCGGAGGCTGAGGCAGGAGAATGGCGTGAACCTGGGAGGCGGAGCTTGCAGTGAGCCGAGATAGCGCCACTGCACTCCAGCCTGGGTGACACAGCGCGAGACTCCGTCTCAAAAAAAAAAAAAAAAAAAAGTACTGTACAATTTCTTCTTATTGAAAAAGTCTAACAAAAATGACTCAATACATTTTATTATAGAAGCAGAAGGAAAGTCTTTGAACTGAGCTTAAAGCAACATATTAACAGATGAGACCCAACTGACCAAAATGAAGTTTACATCTAAATCTCTTTTCCAAACTTCTGAGTTTTCTGATAAGCCTATTAGCACAGAGAAATAACTTACTGATTCTTACTTCTTTATTTCTGGTAGGACAATGTCCTGGGCACAGCAGCTATGTACTTTTCTTTTTCAGATACAGACTGGTCCTTTGGGAATAACCCATCACAGCCAGACTGGAGTTCTACTCAAGGTCTCTTCCATTTCCTGTTCCAAACAGCTCTCCAGAAATTCTAGCTACTGATCAAGCCCAGTGAGGAATTTCAGCCCTTTGTGCTGAAAACATTGGAGATCTGTTGGATCATCTCATGGACAATATTGGTGGCCTGAGCCTTTTGGAATTTGGTGCCATCCATCTGCTCCAGGAAAACCTTAAAACATTCTTGTCCTTCAGACAGGAAGAAAAGGAAGATTCTTCCATTTGGTGAAGAACTGTGAAGGTCTCCTGCTTCTGGCAGGCTGGGCCAGGTCATAGCTAAGGGTACAGAGAAAGCTGGAAAACATCATCCTCAGTGTCACTAGTGAAAACTTGGCAGGGCCACTGGTGGGATGCAGCTGGCTGGCCCTTGTGAGCCTTCACTCAGCTGTCCCAGCACTTTCTGGTTGTGAGACCATTACATAACCAGGCTAGGATTTTCAGTTTTTGTACTTATCTCAATTTTGTTTCCATTTTGTTCACTTTCTATTCTATTTATGGATTTCAGATAATGTCATGACCTCAACACTTCTTTTGTATTATAATCGAAATTAAACACTTCGAAAATGGCAGAAATCTCAATCTAACAGGATGTATTCATCCAAATGAGAACCAATGTTTAAACAAAAACGTGTCTGAGTCTTAATCTATTTCTCTTAAAATTCTAATAATGGTACTTAGAGGTTTTATCTTAGATGTCATTTTTACTTTTTTTTTGAGATAGAGTCTCTCTCTGTCACCTAGGCTGGAGTACAGTGGTGTGATCTCTGCTCATTGCAACCTCTGCCTCCTGGTTCAAGCAATTCTCCTGCCTCAGCCTCCCAAGTAGCTAGGATTACAGGAACCTGGCACCATGCCTGGCTAATTTTTCTGTATTTTTAGTAGAGACAGGGTTTCACCATGTTGGCCAGGCTGGTTTCGAACTCCTGACCTCAAGTGATCCGCTCGCCTCAGCCTCCCAAAATGCTAGGATTACAGGTGTGAGCCACTGTGCCTGGCCCATTTTTACTTATTAAATTGCACTGAAATACACATTTCCTCACCTCTCTCCATTTCCCTTTTAAGGGGTTAATGCACTAGATTTGATTTCTTCCACCTTTCTTTACAGGAGCCACAAATCACAATCTACAGATCATAAAACTGGCATACCAATGGTTAACTCATCCACTTGTCTTCATTCTGTCACTAAAAATGTGTTCACTGCATACATGGGACAAACAATGTGCTTGGCAATGTGGATTCAAGGATAATAAGACAGGAAGATAATTGCCCTCTAGGGAACAAAAGCCAGACATTAAAGACATGATTATGATTAATTAAGCACTAGCATTCTCAGTGCAGCCAAGAGGAAGTACTGAGAGCAAATCAAGAGGGGAGTTGGGAGGCAGTAGAAAGCTTCACTTTCTGACAAAATCTGAGACTCTTAGCAAGTTAAACATCAGATTTTCGTTTCCTCTTCTGAAAAATTGAGAATATTTTAGTAGTTGTCATGTTAGAAACTGTAAAGATTAAGTGAAATGAAGTTTGGAAATTACTGGCTGAGAATATGAACATGATAAATTACAGTGATGTGGTTTGGCTGTGTACCCACCCAAATCTCACCTTGAATTGTAATAATTCCCACATGTCAATGGTGGGGCCAGGTGGAGATAATTGAATCATGGGGGTGGTTTCTCCCATACTGTTCTTGTGGTAGTGAATAAGTCTCACGAGATCCGATGGTTTTATAAATGGGAGTTCTCCCTGCACAAGCTCTCTCTTGCCTGCCACCAGGTAAGACATGACTTTGTTCCTCATTCACCTTCTGCCATGATTGTGAGGCCTCCCCAGCCATGCGGAACTGTGAGTCAATTAAACTTCTTTCCTTTATAAATTACTGAGTCTTGGGTATGTCTTTAGTAGCAGCATGAGAACAGACTAATACAGATAGTAACCTTTAGTATAAATATAATCTATATAGTTTGAACTTGTGAACTATATAGAAAATATATATACATACAACCATATATTTATAATCTGTATAGTCCATATTCAACCAAGTCCATCCAAGAAAAGCTTTGATTGCAGCTCCCCTGACACTCTCAGGGTCTTGCACGCTGACGCCTCCTAAATGGAAACTCTAGGAGAGGAAATAGTCTGTAGGACTAGAAAATATTTTAAAAATGTTTATTCTGAGCCCATATGAGTGACCATATCCTGGAGAAGCAGTCTTAAGAGGTCCTGAAAAAGTGCACCCAAGGCGGTTGGGTTATAATTTGGTTTTAGACATTTCAGGGAGATACGAATTGCAGGTAAAAATCATAAATCAATACATGGAAGGTATACATTGGTTTGGCCAGAAAAGGCAAGACATCTCAAAGTGGGGATTTAAAAGTCACAGGTGGGTTTCAGGGATTCTTTAGCTGGCAGTTGGTTGAAAGAGTTAAGCTTTGTCTAAAGACTTGAAGTCATTAGAAAGAATGCTTAAATTAAGACAAACGGGTCTACAATCTGCCATGCAATGCTATGTGACAGTTAGGTTAGAAAGTGAGCCACATTTTACTGGGTTAATTTTTAAAAATCCATTTAAGGAGATTTTATGGTTTGCAGCGCATGACTCAACCCTTGCCTTGCATGGCCTTAGGTCTTGCTTATAATTTGCTATCTTATTGCCACAAAGAGTCTGTTTTGTCTTATTGTCTCTCTTATAACATTAATGCTGGCCAGTTGATGTCCAAACTCCAAAACGGAGGGGGATATAATGAGGCGTGTCCAACCTGTTTCCCATCATGGTTGAGAATTCAGTTAAGGTTTTCAGGGTCCCATTGGCCAAAAGGGGGCGTGTTCAGCCAATGGGTGGCTGAGTATTTTACTTTTATTTTTAGTTTATAACTATATATCTCTATATATGTAAGAATATGTAGTATATGTACTTACATTTTATATATTATGCGTCTTTAAATAAATACATACATGTTATAATTTTATATAAAGTATATGCTGAAATATATAAATATGTTATATATAAGTATTTAAATGTACAGAAACACATAAAATAGATCAATATAAAAATATACATCCTTTATATATTTAAATATATATACTTAAATTATAAACTCAAATAGTATTTTAATACAGTATTAAAATTGGAAATTAATGTCTAAACATCCATGATGAGGCAAATATCAAATTTTTAAGTAAAGGCAGGAAATGTAAGAAGACCCTGAGGGTCTTACAAAGGAGAGGGGCCAGTGTAACAAATTATGGCAAACTCCACTCAGGCTTTAAAATTCTTACCCTAGAAAATAAAAAGTTCTGACCTGCTTCTCTATTCCTTGTAGGCAACACTGCTCATTTCTCTTTTCAGCAACACAAGTCAAGGTGGGGTCCTGAGGAAGGCCTTTCAGTAAACTAAAATTAAATAAAATTATCTCAGTGTCCCTGAGTCGCCGGAAATGTCAAAGTAGAGATCTTGAAAGCATTGCTGAGCTTGCTTCCTTTAAAGCTAGGGAAGTAAGATCACAACATTCTTGTTTTGGTATAAAGTATTTAAAATAATGCTGTTGAGTTTTAATATACCTGAGTTATGGTTTCAGCGATGTTGACGTCTGAAGCTGAAAGCTTAGCCCCTGGCACACCGTGGGGTAGGCACGGGCGCCTCTCTCCTCCTGGCCCGGTACGCGGCGTCCCCAGCCCCGGGCGCTCCCAGGACCCGTCCGCTCGCCCCAAGGTCCAGCGTGTCCCCTTCCCCAAGACGTCCCTGCCCCGCGCCCCCACACAAACGGAATCCCGAAGATTAAACCCGTGCGATCTCGAGCCCTCAAGTCCCGGAATCAACTGGTCCTTCCGTAAAACAAATCTCGCTGAAGTCTCTATGGGAAATAAAAGCCCTAAACCCAGGGGGAAATCCCGAAAATAAAAAGTGCCCTGCTGGCTACCTGAGGAAGATGTCTCAAGGGAGACCACGGCGGTGCTGCCTCCTCAACAGCAAAGGAGATTTTTTTACTCAGGTTGAAGCTGCACGAAGTTGGCGCGATAAGCCGCGACGACGTTTCCCTGCGGCTGCCGGACGCCCTGAAACTCAAACCCGCGGTTCCCAAATCCTGGGCATCAGGAAACGCCATTCTGGCGCCTTGCTGCTGCAGTGGTGCGCAGCGCTGGGAGCTTTGCGCTCTTTGCGTAGCGGGCCCGCGCCGACCTCGCGGCAGGCTAGTGGATCTCTGAAATAGCAGTGGTCCACACCTCCCTGGTAATGGCGGGAGTGATCGTTCTCATCTCCAGCGCTGCCTGCTCACTTGGGAGGGACAAGCCTTGGAACCATGGCTAGAAAAGAAGAAAGGCAGGAGGAAACCTCTGTGCTATTTACACAGCTGAAAAGTATCCCCTCTCAATCATGCCTAATGACAGAACCCACTTCAAGTTTTCTAGGAAACGAGGAAATATCACCCAAATCCAGAAGACAGACATCCGTTTCCACCTTCAGCTCTCCAACAGATCTTCAGCCTCTTCCCCAGGGACGACCCACTGGTTGCTTGGCGTAAGATCCTCCTCAATAAACGACTCTCCAGACTTGATCACAGCCTAGAACGACTGCAGCTGACAAAAGTAAATTTCTACAAAAGTAGAAAAATCTATCTTGTCTCTATTTAGGAATTGCTGTCTGGAAATATTTCCAAAGAATCATTCCCTATGTGAAGTAAAGGGAATAAGGCCTCTGTGCCTGGGAGGCTGTCAGAGGGGAAATTGAAGGGTGCTTTTCCCTCGTTAACAATTCTCAAAGAAAAGACAACAAATAAACAAGAAAGTTATTATATATTCATGACTCTCTCTAATCAATTACATTATTGTTTCCTGAGCCAAAAAAGCAAAGTCATCTCAGATTTTTTAACCAGCTAGAAAAATCTGAAACCAAAATCAGCAGATTATATCAAAATTATATTGTGTATTACAAATTTATAAAAAATGCAGAAAAGAACATATATTAGTTTCTCAAGATGATCATTTATAATTTTATTTATCTGCTTAAATCTTTGAGGGGTATTTGCTATTTCCAAAGTTGGAAATTTAATTTTTTATGGAAAAGTTTCTTCAAGATAGTATTTTAAAAGACTTTGTCAGTTAAGTTGATGAGAGCTGCTGTAACAGATAAATAGAAAACAATTAGTATTTAGATCAATATGCAAATTTACCTCTCCTTCCTATAAAAGCTCAATGCAGGACTTCCTGCTCAGATGACTCTGGTTGGCTATTCAGGGATCTGAGTACCTTTTATTTTGTGGCTTTGCTATCGTCAACATATAACCCCAAATGTGGCTGTGGTGCTTGAATCTATTTTAGTCAATTGCAAAGGTTAAACTGTGTGGTACATCACGTGTAGATGTTTTCACAGGCCAAGATGTTACAAGGCAAGAATCTCTTCCAACCAAATTAACTTGGCCTGGATTTATTCTCATAGGATACCAAGATACAAAGAAGTTGTGAAAGGGAGCCCAGTTGGATGACTAGTAGGAGAAGAAGGCAAGTTCTCTGAATAAGATTAATCTTCATTTTTATAATATTTGTACAAATGCTGTTTTTAGAGGGAAAAAACAATGTTTTTGCTCACATACTCTATTAAAAACTTTTTCCAAAATCTATTTTAACAATTCAAACGCAGGGAAGTGGACACAGATGTCATTTATTAGAGTTTATGACATCATTGACTGTTTGAAATAAATGGTTAAATTGGTTCCCAAAGGCATTGGCTAAAGTTGAAAAAAGGCCAAGAGTATGGGATAAGGCCTTGGAACACATTGTAAAATTGAAATTGTTTCCTTATTGTCTGAGGAGACAAGGCAACTATGACAGATATCTCTGCAGGTACTTGAAGACCACTGAAAGAAAAGTGGAGAGGGAGTCTTCCATTTGTCCAAGTCATTATTTCTCATTCAGATATTCTAATTATTAAAAACACGAACTTGAAAATGATTCTATAATCAAGTGACTGTTCTTTCTTTGAATATTCCACATAATTTTCAATTATAACTTCCAATGAAGAACCTTGAAGATTTTACAAATTATCTTTTGATTTATTTTCCTTTCAAATTATGTATCTAATATGTATTGGTAATATTCTTTCCACTAGTATTATAGTGATTACTCTTTTTCATGAATATTGACTGAGCTCCTGAAATGATAGGGACGGTGCCAAGATGCCAGGGAACAAGGTTGGATAAGATGATATCTCTGTCCATAGGTATCTTATGGAGTCCTGATAAAATATTCTAAAGAGAAAATAGGTCAGATCACTAAAGGCGACATCTGTGACAGCAAAAAAAGAGAAAATTATAACCATGCATAAAGAAGAATAAGAACACTACCAGGCAAAAACATCTGACCAAGGACTCAAAATCCAAAATCTTGGTTTTTTCCACCTGAAGTAGCACTTTGAATATTACATGCCAAATTTTGGAAATCAAACAGAAATGGACCCCACTATTGCATGGAAAATGGATGGAGATAACAAGAAGCAAATGGTCCCTTATTTTTTGTATGAGGAGAATCTTAAAAAATCACTGGATAAGATGACATAATTATCACATTAAGACACACCTAAAAAAATGGAAGGCCAAACGGAAAGAGTAAAGGCATAGTTTGCTCCAATTGTATGCCCATTTTTAGCAAACATCTTTCCACCTATGCAAACACATTTTTTTTCCCAACCCCTTTTCTTTAGTTCTCTCCATATATTGCCCAGTTTCTCAAAACAAGTGGTAAAATTAACTCAGCAGCAAACTCTGCGGGCCTGCAACATAAAAGGCATCAACCAGCTGGCAAGTCAGGTGACTCCGACTTTGGTATCACAGTCCTCTTGCTATAATACACTGGACTCTCCTCATTTCTCCAGAAGTCCTTTCATTCCCACTTTTAATCCTTTTAGTGAGCCCTTCTAGATGTGGTCTCCCTGAACTCTGAGCCTTAGTTCATTGGTTTAGTTCTGATTTAGCTGATGTCTCTAGCTTGTCATGACTTAGTCTTAAACTTGTGCTAAGATAGAAATCTAAAGCCTTATGAATATTTGAATAAAAGGATGGACATATGCAGGGTTTTACAGAGTTGTTTATGAATATATTACTAGGGCAAACAAAGAGTTTTGCAACTACATTCAAGTTTATGAATATACATTCTCAAGAAAACAAAACTAGTATATAACATGTAAATAAATTGGGGCCCATCTTTATTATAATGTAACATATCAGGCATAAACAAATAGGGCTTTTCAGTGAAGGAGAGGGTGAATGAGCTGAAAAGAAAAAGCTTGACCTTCTTTATGTGGGACTATACTAAGAAAACATTGACCGGCGTCTAGAAACCAGCTTTGGGTCTTGTGGCCAGAAATAATTCCCAGGGAGCATGTAAGAACTGAGGATTTAGAGTCAGATGTTTTGGGTTTGAATTGTGGCTCCACAACTCAATAGCTCCCTGTGCTTCTGTGTTTTCCTTTTGTAAAAGGGGACAATAGTACAACCTGTCAGTGTCTGCTTTGGTCACTGATATCTCTAGCAACTAAGTAGGAATGGGCATATAGTAGATGTTCAATAAATATGAAAATGAGGGTATATCTCATTGAATGAAGTGAAAACAGTTTTTGTAAGTGCTAAGAACAATATCCAATTGATAAGAAATACAATAAAATTTAGCAACTTTTTCTTATTAGTATTGTCATTATTGTCCTTTTTATTAAGTCAAGAGAAGTTTCCTTTGAAATCATCTATTCCCTGGCTTCTTGTTAGATAGATATATTAGTCAGAGTTCTCCAGAGGGACAGAACTAATAGGATATATTTATATATAAGAGGGAGTTTATTAAGGAGAATTGACTCACACGATCACAAGGTAAAGTCCTACCATAGGCAGTCTGCAGGTTGAGAAGCAAGGAAGCCAGTGGTGGATCAGTCCGAGTCCCAAAACCTCCCAAGTAGAGAAGTCGACAGTGCAGCCTTTAGTCTGTGGCCAAAGGCCTGAGACCCCCTTCCAAATCACTGGTGTAAGTCCAAGAGTCCAAAAGCTTAAGAACTTGGAGTCTGATTTCAAAGGCAGGAAGCATCCATCAGAAAGATGAAGGCCAGAAGACTCAGCAAGTCTCCTCTTCCATCTTCTCCTCCCTGCTTAATTCTAGCCATGTTGGCAGTTGATTAGATGGTGCCCACATTGACTGAGTGTGAGTCTGCCTCTCCCAGTCCACTGACTCAAATTTTAATCTCCTTTGGCAATACCCTCATAGACACACCTAGGAACAACACTTTGCATCCTTCAGTTCAATCAAGATAACACTCAATGTTAACCATCACAACAGATAATATGAGATATATTGATCTTCTGAGTTGATCCATCTACTAGTGGAGAACTTGAGATAATTATATTTGTCCATTCTACAGAGAGAATATTATACTCTCACAAATTTGCCTTTCTAGTGCACAATATCTTGTGTTTGGTTCATCACCCTCAACAGTCTAGTAAGGCTGAATTCACTAAAGCTGAAAACACACCTCTGGACCAGTAATGATTACTTTTCTTTGAGCTCCTGCCCATTTGCTACCTTTGATCTACATCTCTTCCACCATTTTGCTTCTGCTCTTCCCCACCCCTTAATGTCCATCTAACCTGGGCTGAATATCCAAGTTATATTTTTTTAGTTTTTTTTCTCCGGTGGGATATTACTTCCATTCTTACATTTTTATCACATTTAGATATACATTTGTTTTCTTTTTGTTCTCATTTATTGGGATACAAAAAAGCAACAACTTTTGCTTTCTGTGAAAAAGGAAATGAGAAAGGTATCTGGTATCTTGCGTGCTATGTAGAACAATTGTATACATCATTTACTTTATCATACTTAGATATTATTACTGACCTTAGGAAACAGATGGCTTTTTTTATTTTATAAGAATGAACTAGAATTGGGATGTCCCCAGGTTCTTTGGGAAATCTAAACGTTAATGCAAAAATTGTTTTGAAAAATCAAATTGATGTTTTCTCGATTGTGTATTCTCATTGGGGATGATATTGCTCCTAAGGGTACAAACCTTAGTTCTTGTGGTGTGAACATATTGTAGATATTATATTCGTTTATGGCCCC